TGACGGTACAAATAGTACATTTTCCCACAGAAACCATATTAAATGTTTGGGACTATATGACTCAACTGTGCAAGTGCTGACGGTACATATAGTACATTTTGTCACAGAAACCACATTCCATGTTTAGAACTATATGACTAGACTGTGCAAGTGCTGACGGTACAATTAGTACATTTCCCCACAGAAACCATATTCCATGTTTGAGACTATGTGACAGGACTGTGCAAGTGCTGACGGTACAAATAGTACATTTTCCCACAGAAACCATATTAAATGTTTGGGACTATATGACTAAACTGTGCAAGCTGGCTGACGGTACAAATAGTACATTTTCTCACAGAATCCATATTCCATGTTTAGGACTATGTGACAGGACTGTGCAAGTGCTGACTGTACAAATAGTACATTTTCCCACAGAAACCATATTCTATGTTTGCATGGGAATATGTGACAGGACTGTGCAAGGGCTGACGGTACAAATAGTACATTTTCTCACAGAATCCATATTCCATGTTTAGGACTATGTGACAGGACTGTGCAAGTGCTGACGGTACAAATAGTACATTTTCCCACAGAAACCATATTCTATGTTTGGGAATATGTGACAGGACTGTGCAAGTGCTGACGGTACAAATAGTGCATTTTGTCACAGAAACCATATTCAATGTTTAGAACTATATGACAATACTATGCAAGTGCTGACGGTACAAATAGTACATTTTTCCACAGAAACCATATTCTATGTTTAGAACTATATGACAATACTATGCAAGTGCTGACGGTACAAATAGTACATTTTTCCACAGAAACCATATTCCATGTTTAAAACTATATGACAATACTGTGCAAGTGCTGACGGTACAAATAGTACATTTTCCCACAGAAACCACATTCCATGTTTAGAACTATATGACAATACTGTGCAAGTGCTGACGGTACAAATAGTACATTTTGTCACAGAAACCATATTCCATGTCTAGAACTATATGACAATACTGTGCAAGTGCTGACGGTACAAATAGTACATTTTGTCACAGAAACCATATTCCATGTTTAAAACTATGTGACAGGACTGTGCAAGTGCTGACGGTACAAATAGTACATTTTGTCACAGAAACCA